GCGTGTCATTCGCCGTGTAACAATTTGAAACTTTTATAGAGTTTTCTGCGCTGAACAAAAAATTCCATCGATGGACGGCGGACAAGTTTAAGAACACGTTAAACTTTTTACGACTTCCGTAGATGAGGATTTTGTGGGGCCGAAATGTATGCGGAAGTTTTCTCCTTTGGAGATAATGCAGTCAGGAGTCGAGGTCGCGTTTGAGGAGGCATACTGAAATTTAAAGCAACAGCTGCTACTAATTAACCTGGCCATTTGGACCGCCACGTCGCCGGCTTGTATTAGTTAAAAACTCATAAAAAATGTCGGCTGATTGAAATAAGCGTCGATGGCTTTAGGTTGGCCTTTCGATTCCGCTGCCGATGGCAAAGGGGACTTAAATTTAAACCGCTCAAACTTCATTGCATATTTATGGGCCCTAGACCCCGCACACAGGGCTTTTGGCGCTTTTTAAATATTTAAATTTAAATTCCAGCTAGCGTGTGGGAAACCAAACAGAAGACAGGCGCACATCTGGCATAAATAAATAGACTGTCCTTTTTCGTAAGTCGAAAAGGTGAACGACGGAGTAAGACAAAGACAAAGGGTTCGGGGCTTAAAGTTGGAACGCTTCCAAGCGGCCAAAATCCGTTTAAATTGAGCGTGAATTAAACTTTCGGCCCTCCTGCAGCTGCACAATGCCGGCATAATTTAAGTTTCCAGTGGAATTGCAATTAAAGTCTGGTTGGCGAAATTTGCAATGAGTTTCGGGCTTCAGACGAGCATCTATGTTCGTACCGCTGTGTGCGGGCTCAGCTCTTGTAGCACTTTTATTTAACTAGACTAAGCGGCTTTTGCCTAGACAAACTTTGCCGCACTGAAATCCGCTTGACTTTTGGCCAAGTCTTTATAGCCCGCGCCTGCTTGCGTAGACGAGTATGTAGAGAAGTTCTCGATGACAATGTGTGGAAGCGGGCTCTCGCTAAATATTAATATAGAGCACATAAGATACTAAGAACTTTCAGATGCCTTATATATATTAATATAGAGCACATAAGATACTAAGAACTTTCAGATGCCTTCTATCTTTTTTTGTTAAATAATCGTGTGAAAAAATATTTAGTAGTCATATTTTGAAATACAATTAACATAAAAAAAAACATTTATTTTGTCACTGCTTAGATTAACTTTTAATTTGTTTCTTATTCAAAAATTTTAAAATTTTTAGAGAAATGTTTTTTGTAAGTTAAATCTCAGATGTAAATTTAAAAAAATTTAGCTATTTAAGCCCTATTAAAATAGGCAAGGTTTCTTTATTAAATTATAAAGAAAGTTCTTAATGTTCTTAAAGAATGTGTCGACTTAGATAATGAGCAATGTGAAATAGAGCGAAATAGCGCTTAAAGTTACATGAGTGGGAGAAAGAAAGACACATTTCGAGCATATCAAATGATACCAAATAATATCAAATCGATCACCGTTTCATATCAATTTGTTTTGGGGTTTTTTTTCATGGCCTTTTAGTTATTTCCATTCTGCGAAAAGCACTAATTTTCCCGATGATGATGGAACAGTTTCCCCGAAATATTCCTCCGCCTTGACAACGAACCCCGAATATGTGAAAAGCTCATTTCTGCGGCCCCGGCCAGCCGACAATCAAAGCCGGCCACAAAGACTGGCCACATTATGTGCTCACGAGCCTATGCATATGCCACACAAAAGTTGAGTCCAACAAAGGAAGCCCAACTGCGTCAGATCTTTTGTACGGCTTCGCGTGTAATTTATTTGACAGTTTGACAATTTGGAAAAAATGAGCGCTAAACAGGGCAGGACGACCTGGGGAAGGCGCGTGAAAGTGGCCGCGGGCGCACAAAAGGCTCCAACGCAACGGTGGCGAACTGTTAAAAAGCGTGGAAGCCCGTGGATACGCCGGGAATACTGTGAAAATTCCGGGGGAAAAACACCTCGGACCGCTGCAAGGCGCTAATGTTGAATTAAACGAGCGCTGACAGCGGCATAAACAAAGGGCGGACCGCGACACCGCCCAACAGCCCAACAGGACCACGATTTATATGCCTCACATATGTAGTAAATATGCGATGTTGCCCTATACTATATGTATGTGCATGCATATTTATGATAAATTGTCGCTGTAGGAAAACGTGTCGCTGACATTTTGGCGCCTACAAAAAAGGGACACAAACAAAACACAAACGGCGAGCCAAAGCAGCCAGCGAATGAAAGAAAAACTCGGCACAAGTCAAAGTCAGCATGAATGTTTGTATGAAATTTTAATAACCCGGCAAACTGGCATTATTATTGAATTGCCATTGGTGAACATTGCCGCGAAATGACTTTGTAATGCGAAAGAGAAGTGAAAAAAACGAAGAAGCGTCAAATATGGCGAAGCGAATTTTTATGAAGCTGAAAAGCCGTTTAATGTCGCGCCACGGAAATAATCCAGCTTTGGAGTTGATTGGAAAATGCTTAAAAATAGCAGAAAATAAAGGAGCTCGAAGCGTAGGGAATGAGTGTGCAGAGGCCTCATTGGAGCTCCTCTAAGCTTTATTGTCTCAGTCGCTGCCATTTGCACACGCTCAAATCTCTGGTCGCATTCAACCTGTTAGCCGGCGGAATATTCGTGCCTACTTTTCGGGGCCAGCTCTTTGCGGCTGCTCGAATGTAGATGTAGTCGTAAAAGCGCTTTTACGTAATGCGACGATGTCGCTGGGACCGAGACGATAATGGTCCCCGAAGAATTGCGACGCGTACGTGTGTGTGTTGCGCCGGCCTTGAAGTAAAATATTTACAATGCTCGGTCTTAAAGTTAAATTCTGGGGGATTATACAACATGCGAGAGGTGCCTTTCCTGGCCAATCTCATCAAGCTTCAATTTGCTGTGAGCCCGTTTTATTCTTTTTCAATTTATTGGCAGTTGTTGTTTTATAAATGGGATTACAAATGCAAATACAATAATATGATTAATATTAAAATAATATTAATTTTAAATTAAGACAAGTATTTACCATAGACTAAAAAGTAAAACCCTGCGATTATAAATAAATGTTAATTATATTATCGACCTACTGGAAATTACATGAGAACATATAATATTTAAATCCACAGCCATTCCACACAGAATTTGGCTTTCCTCAGTTTTACCTCTTGTTGGCTCAAGCTGGCCAAATTAATTATACACACTTATTTGGTTAAGTTCCTTTAACCGACGAATGCTCTATTTGAGTAAAGTGTTAGCTGAACAGAAGCCATTCAGCTTCAGATCGGATTGTATCTTCTGCTCTAAATCTGAATCCGACCCAGGTAAATAAACTTAAATGCTTTGACTCCTGGTTGGCCAAAGAGTCTAGTTAAAGGGGGCGGCAGTCTGCTGACATGAATGCAGCTGCGGATGCATACATTTGTAGATTTTGGTGTGTATTTTACTTATGCAAATGCCATAAGACTCACAGGACAGAGCTCACTTTACCTTTTCTGCACACACGTGCTTTTTGTTTCGCTGTTTTAATTAAACCAGCTTCAGTATTCCTTGTTGTTGCTCTGGTTACTCTAATGCCCCGTGATGCGACCCATTTCGCCATCGTATATTCCTCGCTGGCCGAGTGAATTTCTTCTTCTTTTTTACCCATATCCCCAGCCACCAACTATTATTTTATTAATATTGCCAGCGAAAGCTGCGTTTTTGCATGCCTTTAGTTGGGGTTTCATTTTCATTTAGAAAATTACAAGAGAGAATTTTAATATAGGGTGGGCCTTGTACAAAAAAGTGCCTAAGAATTTGTGAGTGGTACATTGCGTGAGTAAATGTAATTAACATTTTTATTTTATTTATTGGAGGAATACAAAATGAATATAGAACTGAGCCGATGAATTATTAATTTGGTTTTAACTAAATTCTTTTCCAATTAGTTCTATGAAAAACGTAAAAGACACCACATAATGAATTAGGTTAATAATTACAATTATAATTGTATTTAATTTTGTAGAGATGTCAGAACATCTTAGAAATCTTGGTATAACAACTTTATTAAAAGGAAAATGAACTTGGGAAACCGTAACGATGCACTATAACGATAACGCCGAAGCGACTGTAACTCTGTGATTTTCTTTTTCCTGTTCCCTGCACTCAGTCGCTAAAGGGTTACACCCTTTTATTGTCTGTTTCAGATTATCCGTTTTCCACGGTCTGCGCCGTTTACTTGTTTATCATACTGTCAATTACTTTTAACGTTCGGATCTTAACAGCGAAACTGCAACTGCTTTCCAATTAAGAGTAACGCATTGCGGGTAAAGCACAAAAAAGTAGAAGAGTGCTGCGATGGTTCGTTTATCCCTCCTCAGCTTTTCCACTTTTCTGGGCTGGTCAACACTCGAGAGCTGCATCTGCGGAGCGGAGCCCACATGTCGCTGCCATCTCCCATGGGGAACCCACCTCCCCATTCCATTCCACCCGCCCCCAAACCGCTTATGCAAATGGATTTTCAGCCAAGAGCGAAGGTCACTGCGTCCTTTGCGGTTGTTAAATGCATGCCTGGTTGGTATCTTACCGGGCTCCGCTGATCCGCCTCCAGAAACTCATTAACGGCAGTGTTGCCTTTTAAGTCGGCTCCTGGCTCCTGGCTCTTGGCTGTTGGCTGTTGGCTCTTTGCCCCCTGATGGCCGGGCTAAAGTCACAATAATTAAGTGAAGACGTTTGCGACAGGAATAAAGGGAAAGAAATGTTTTTTACTGCCGAAAGGGTCCTTGTACATTTACTTAATCCGCTCAGGGACTAGTTAGCCAGCTACATCCGAGAATTCTCGGTGAGAGTGTCCTGACTTCGGTGTAACAAGCATCCAGCTTTTCTTGTGCTGGCATTTTCGCGTTTAAGAATTTTACGGCATTACATCTCCCCATGCTAGTTTCAATTTTCTGGCCCTAGAAAAAAAGCGGAGCAGTGGGCGGAAGGGAAAGCCGCTTAAACGCAACTCGAGACTTTTTAATAATTTACGTCGACTGAGGCGCGAATCAAAGAGCATTTGGAGTGCCCTCTCCGATGCCGAGAGGCAGGTGTGCAAATAGAGATACAAATAAAAATAAGCATTAGCCGCTGGGAAGGCAGTTCCCATTAAAGTTTATGTAATGGAGGAGTCGTACAGATAGGGCTCAATCCGATGGATAACTTTGCCTAGGCCGCCGCCTGGCCCTTAATGATCCGGTAGTTGCCCTTCCTCTCACATTTCACGCCTTTCCTGTTCCTGAATCCGTCGACGGACCACTTGCCCCCACCCAACTCGGAGAGCATCAGGAATCCGCCCATTTTGCAGAACAGCAGGGAGAAGTACTGTATGGATAGGAGCGTATCGTTCCAGCCCCACAACATGCTCCAGTGATTGCTGAAGACATCGTGATAAAGCAGGGCGATTACGGTCAGATAGGCAAACAGTTTGCAGTGGAAGCCAAGGCTTATGAAGAGCAAAAGACCAAGCGACACGATGCTGAAAGATGTCTGAGGAAATCTGTTTGTACGCCAAAAACTTTACTTATAACTACAAGAAGTACTCACTTCCAAGCCCTCGTCCAGCCACATTATAAACAAGCAGCACAAGCAGAGCCTTCCCACCAGCAATAATACCTGGTACTTCGACTTTTCCATCTGCGGCCAGTCCGTTTGATCCCTCAATTTGATTTTAGCAGCCATCAGCATCAACAGGGAGCCGACATCCAAACTGTCGGTGAAGAGGAAGTAAAAGAACATGGTCCATATTGAGAAGAACAGTCGGTGGACGACTCTGCCGATGAGCAACAGGGTCACGCCACTGGCGTCCTTTCGGGTGCCCAGGATGAGAAAGATGGCTGCAATGGTCAGCAGGACATCGAAGGACGTGTAGAAGTGGCCGAACGCCTCGTTGACATCCATCACAATGGCTCTTTCTCTGCCCACCAGTGGGGTGTTGACCACCGAGTAAAGCACTTCCATAAAGTAATACGACATTACGAAATACGGCATACACTTCAGAACCAACGGCCTGATCTCGCGTCTTAGACCTTTGATTATTTTTGCCACCATTATTATAAGTTCGCTTAAAGAGCAAAATTTTGAAATATCAACCTTGCAGTTCGGTAAACCACAAATGTACAGTTGATGCCCAGCACACTTTGATTGTTACACATCAAATCGATAAACTGATAAATTAATTGGAGATATACGGCCCTGTTCTAGTTTTCACTTTCCAAAGATTCACTCGGAATCGAATTTCTCAGACCTGTTCCAGGACTCGCTTCCGAAAGAAATGCACGGATTCAAAAATCCCTCTATAGCTTTTATATGCAACAAACTGTATAAGTTTCATATCTTATGGGAAAAAAATTAAAATGTATCTTGTGTAACAGTAGGAGGTCTTGGACTATCTCACTCATTGCCACATCCCCCTTTTAATTAGTTGATAATCGGTAAGCCTCAAACGGCCCGAGGTCATTGTAATACGCATAATGTTTGCGGCTTTGGGCCCAAGGGAATCTTCATAATGTGATGAGACGCGAGCATTCAAATCAATGCCGCGTCTAATTGTCCGTAATTGTTGCCCATGGCGTGGGCAGACCGCAGCCGGCACATTAGCTAATTACCCACAAGAAGGCGGTGGGCTACCACCTGGGTCACCACACGCCTGACTTGGTTTCAAACTTCCGTAGGGAGATATCCTTCGTTTCGAGCCCTTCCGGAAAATACCTTTATGCCCGCCTTGTGGGTTGTTTATGGTTTTGAAAAGGGAGGCACTACTCGAGTTGCAACCGATCAACGAAATGCGAATGGAGTTGTTTTCCCTGGTGCAGACATGTTGGTATGCGGCACCCATCAGGATTACGGCCATGCTGGCCCTTTTTCCATAAGGCAGACGGCACCGATTACAGGGAAATTGGTGGACATCTAGGTCAATCCCAGGCCCACAATTCAGTTGTCTGGCTTCTTCAACATTCCCCTAGTCAATCCACTCGCGGACTAACAGATTCAACACCCTAGTTATTTTTGCCCATATTTTGACGAACTCTTGTTCCGTATCCTGTACCCATAAACATATTATAACTTTTTATTTAATAATATAGGGCTAACAACAGAGCAAATTACCATTTTTAACATTTTTATTTGCAAGCAGTACTGGAAATTATTACTGCAATACTTAAGACATAATCTGACTGCGTCAGCCCACACAATTTATAAAGTGTTTAAGTTTACTTTGCTCCCTAATGGACACCTCCACTCGTTTCCGAAGAGTCAGGGTCCGGCCAAGTGACTGGATTCCATTTTGATGCCAATGACTGTCAACAGCTTTTGACATTTTGCAATTTATCTGCTTACACAGCAGAAATTAATGCCACAAGTGGAAAACATTGAAGCTGGTTCAAGGTAATGAGCAGTTGGAAGGGGGGATCAGAGCGGAAGAGAAGATACTATAAAAGGAGAAAATGAAAAAATCAATTCATGTTGTTGACATCTAAGCGTTCCCTTATCCCCTATCTTTCGAATAGAAAATTAGGTATTTACCAGAAATTACCACAAGGTCTTTGGAAAAGTCGTAGGCATAGTCCAATCGCTTGGAAGAAAAGAAAAAGGAAGTCAGCAACAAAGGCAAGTTGTTATACAATTGCTATGGACAATAAAGTCCAAAAAAGTTGGGAAGTAGAAAAACGATGGCACAACGAGTAAACAAAAGCGTAACCCTTAAATTTGACCTAGAAATATTCATTATTCTCATCCTGACAACTGGTCACAGTGAAACTATATCCTGAAGCCCTAATTACTACCAAGATGGCAGTGAAAATAATGACAATACCATTGGCCTTGCAAGAGACTTGGATTGGCTAAGAAATGTTTACCACTAGCCTTCGAAATAAATGAGCTGGAGGAAAAACTTGGTAACCAACCATCCCAAGCCTCCATTCCTGGAGAAAGTTTATTAATTAAGCCTATTAGTTGGCTTCTTCTAGTTACAAGGAAAGACGTGATGAACATTTTCCAAAGCCATTTTAAACAAGCCACTGGCATCAAGATTTTATGGAATATTTGTTCTTCCCTATTGATTCTAAAGAATACTAAAAAAACGATATTGACAATTTCTTAGATATTAAAATTTTTCTCTAATAAGATAAAGGAATTAAAAATTTAAAAAAAAATATAGATTTAATTAAATAGGTACGCAGTCTATTACAGTTTTCAAGAATCTGACTCCCACTTTTAATTGAAAATATCAGGGACCGAAGATAAGAGTTAAAATGTGATTTTTAAAATAAAACTTATAACGGTTACGGTCCCTGAAAAATATCTCAACAAATTCAAAATAATCAGACTAATTTTCCAAAAATCTACATCCTTGTTTCCTCTTTAAAGTTTAAAAAAGAAAACATGCTTCAAAATTTTTAATTTTCTAATATTTCCTCCAGGATTTGCCTCCAAGGTGTTTATCCCAGGATATCCTCAGCCACATTTCCCTTAAAAGAGCATTCCAAGCGGTGGTTTTGTCGGGTTTGCTCAAACATTTTGCTGGGCAATCAAATCAGTAACAGGACCTTGGGGCGTGAGAGGACTGAAGGATAACCCAAGCAGATCGGAGGATGCGGAGCGGCCACAGTTCGTTGATTTTGTTACAAATAATTTAAATCTATGTCAACATTTGGAACGCAACGCGATAATAATTCATTTTTGCTTTTCGCCGCAGCTTCGTGACAGCTAATCACTAGAGGGAGATGGCAATAGACCGTCAGACAGAGAGAGAGTGAGAGCGACTGACGGACGGAAAGGCAAATAAAAATGGACACTGACAACCATTTTGAAAAATGGCGTCATGGCTGCCCGATTTCCGCCGGCAAATGAATTTTCCCTTTTGACTTCACAGACGTTGTTTTGTGTGCTAATTTAACGACTCTTTTTTCAGTGGGCGGTTAAATTTAAAAACCAATAGGTTGCTTATTATGACTGGTATAAAATGAGGACTTTATCGCGTAGAATATAAATTAAATACAATTTGCCATCATGATTATTGGTGTGTGCACATGCGCGACGCCATCAACGTCCATTGTTTATTTGTTCCGATAAAATCGTTTTAATTTCATTAGTTTTCGCTTTATTGTGTGTTTTGTTGGCCGAATGCCTCACCCAGTTGTTTGCATACTTTTGGTCTCGACTAAAAAATAGTCGTATTGTTCTCTGTTTATCTGTGACAAATGTCAGACATTCGATTTAATCTTAACTGTTCAATTGTTTTGGATATTGTTATGAATTCAATTAATAATACACATTATGAATCGTTGTTAAAGCTTTCCATAAAAAGGTTTGAACAAATTTACTACTGATTGGCAGTGCAATACACGACATTTATAAATACTTGCAAGAGTGATTTAATTATGAAAATATAATTTGTAAGCCAACAAATAATAAATTGTTCAATTGTAATTAAAAATAAAAAGGTATTAAAAAAGTATACCTGATTGCTTGTGTTAAACACACTTTTTTAAAACGCTTGTCGGCTTGACTTAATTATGAAAATTAACATCATTCAATAATCACATTTTGTGATTATTGTGTGGTCTCGTAATAGATTAAAATCGTTTATATATATTTTCATTTAATCGTTGGACTTACTTTACAAAAACCAAAGGCTTTTGTAAAGTCGTAAGCTGCCGCGCATATCCTCCAGACTACTTTTTACATGTCAAGAAGGACAATGGCCGACTTCAGCTTCCTGTTTGGTAGTTATCTTGAAACCTTAGGGGTCTGTCCATAAAGCAAACAATGCAACCCCAGAAAACCCAAGTAATAGCAAGAAAATCTATTATACTTGGAGAGCATACATATAAAGGGAGTAGACTCTGAAAGTTGTAATGAATGGAAATAATGGAGCCGCAGGTGAATAATCCGACACCATATTTGCTTCTCGGCTGCACTATGACGCAAATTTTTTCCTCCTTTCAAACCTGTCTGTTTTATATCAACATTTGCATTGTGCATTTTTGTTTTAAGACAATAGAAAAAATTTCCCCGGCCTTTTAGTTTTTTGGTCTCTCGATTTCTGTCGGCATATCAAAATCAGTCACAGACGCGATTGCTCCTGACAGCACAGCAGGAATGATATTCGTAAAAAACATTTCAATTAAAACATTGAACATTATCTTCAATTTAAGCTTCACTAAATAGAAAAAACACGATTGTATATTCTTAGATTTAATAAATTTAAATAAGCAAAAAGGAAGTATTCTTATTAAATATGTAAAAAAAATTAGATGAAAGTATTTCTGCATAAACTACGGATTGTATCCCCCGAATTCGTAGTTATTTTCATACAAAAAAAAAACACAGCGGTGATAAGCCGGGAATCATTTTTTTTTTATCAATTTTCTTCGCGAAACCTGGGCAGATGTCAAGCAGGATAATGAGCCTAGATTTGGGAATGCGGAAATGCCAGGGAGCTCTGAATTTGCCTGCGTGGAAAATCAGCTTAAGGCGTGCATGATATTTGAATATATATACATAATTTTTGGGCTCCCCTTTTTGGGTTCACAATGACTTTAAGGCGGAAATTCCGCATTTGACTAAGAAGAATGAAAACCCATGGGATTTTTATAACAAATTGAAAAGCATAACAATAAGAAGGGGGCATAGACTAAAGCTCATTTTTATTATGATTGTGTTAAAAATTTGTTAAACCATAGATAAAGTGATCCTTTTAAACAAAAATACTTTTGTCCCCACTTCAGCAATAAAAGCAGCGGTCGTTAACCTTGGTCAAATCAATTAAATGTGCAATTTTGAATTGTCGTGAGTGTTATGAATATTCACGAACTGTGCGCCACGAAATAAATATTTAAATAGTTTGAATATAAACGCGTCCCAGGGCTAGTGACGCCAGGACCTCCAGTCGCCGAGGTACTTTAGCCAGAGAGGAGCAGATCCACCAACAAACCGGAAAGTATTCAGCCGGAAAGAGTTTGCCAGAGAGATATATACATATGTACAGGCCCACGGTCCACGTCTAAATTAACAAATGAATTATTTAGTGCCAACACTTGTGTGGGCAATGTTTGGATTAGAGCGATGTGAATTAGGTGCGAATGACCAGGCGGGGATTACCCTAAATGCGAAACTGTGTAATTTGCTTAAAAGCGTTGACCCTCAGGCAGCTCTTTAATACGATGCTTGCATAGAGTTCTCTTTACTGCGCTCAGCCAATTCGTTGATAAAGAATTGGTTAATAAAGAAAAATTTAATACCAGTCCAATTTAGGATTTATTTTTACAATACATTGAATTAATTATTAAATCGTTAGGACATAATTTTCTATTCTCTATGCTTTGCATCATCTGGCAATCATTTCCGACTCTTTAAGTTATCCGCACTATAGAATATCAAATTTTAAATTCATTTGAAAAAGTCAGAACCAAAAACGTTGTGCACGGAAAGTTCCAGTTCTTGTTTGTTGTCAGTATACTTTTTTTTTCATACTTCTCAAAATAACTACGAAAGCAGTATTTTGTTTTGGCAGCACCTTTCCTGGAGATGAATGTCCGTTGAGCAGCTGTTGCCGAGCAATCCCCATTCCCAGTCCAGGTCCTGCTCCGATTCTGTATGCTAAACGTGTCAACAAGTCTGCTCAACACACTGCAATGCAGTGAAGCGTAATGGGTAATTTTATTAAATGCGGTCGAAATCGAACAGGAAATTTTGGGGGTTGGTGTGAACTGAAAACGATTAAGTTAGTGGAAGAATAAGGGTATTGCGCTGCTGCCAAGCAAAGCAGTGAAGCCAGCAATTGTAAGAAACATGAAAATCGCGAGGACACTTCCTGCTAGCAACTAAAGAGGCGGATGAGAGGTGTATTTATTTGTTAGCTTCACATACTTACGAATTGGAACGGTCTTATATTGCCCCAGCCGGCCACAATAATGTTTGCGGGGCAGCTCACGGGCAGCAAAAACTGATTGTGCAAAGCCGTGGCAAACGGCAGGGCAAAGGCTGCTCCCTGTAATATAACAATATTTGAAAATAATATTTTAATGTATATTGTGGATTTTATACATATACTTGTTGATTACTTACTCACCCCTCTTATCATGGTGGGAAGTGCTATTTTAGCCACGGTAGTACCCGGTGATAGATTCGTCAGCAGAGTTCCGTACAGGGCGCCAAGGATGAACTGCTGGCTGTCGAATTTACCATCGGGACTACCCATGGATCCTGCCACGAGGGCATTCAGTCCGCAGGCCTGGGCACAGAAGACACAGCAAACGGCGGCGCCCAGCATGAAGATGTCCGCCCAGGGAGTATTGTTGTTCACCGCCTTCCAGCTGAGGAGCGAAGGTGCAGTGCCCTCCTTTGTGGGCCGTCGGCAGGCATAATATTTGCAGAAGAAATAGTTGGCCGGGAGCGCAAAGAATACAATGGCCATGCCAATGGCCGTCACCGAGAGACCCGACGAAATTTTAAGGTTAAGATCATCCCAACCCAAGAACACTCGCGGTTTTCGAGTGGCGGCCAGTATAAAAGTCACAAGAATGAGGACAAAGACTAATATGGGATACAATGGCCAGGGTCCCATTGCCTCCTTCTTGTCGGCTATGGTCTGTTTAAATCCCGCTTTATTTCCAGCCAACTCGGCTAAATCGCGCTTCACACTGCCGCCGAAAAGTCCAAGGAAGAGGATTTGAATCCAGAAAACCATAACAACAAGTCCAAATAAAGCCGGGACCGCCATAATCATCATCATGCTGGTTACGCTAAAAAATCTGGAAAGAAGCAGTTACTTACCTTACTGCAAAGGTAGTAATTGATTACTAATTACCCCCAGAATGCGTCGACAATTGAACCGTTGGGATTCACGAAGGGCGAAAGACAGCCGGCCAGTGTACCGGCATAGCAACAGGTTAGATAAATTCCGATTACAGGACGCGTCGGATATAGTTTACTGGGGGCCGGATTAGCAGTTTACTTTAAGTGGGAGCAGTGCTATATAACTCGAGACTCACGCTCCAACCTCGTAGGTCCGTTCATCTGAGTTCATTTTCACCACGCCAGCCTACAGCAAACGGTACACAGATTAGGACTGTAGCCTATATTGGTAACACCACCTGCTTACATTATTGTATTCCGTTATGACAGCTTGGGAGACCTTCATCCAAAAGGCAGTGGCTAGAGTTGGATGCACCAAAAAGGCAACAATAAAAACGGCAACGGTCATGAAAAGCTGCAGACTGCGGATTGGAAACATTTAGAGTTGGAGTTCCCTGAGTTAGGATCTTACAATTTCAGACTGCTCCCAACAATGGCGATAACACACATCGCCAGGCGTTCACTGAGCTTCGAAGAGTCCATCATAATGCCAAGGAAGACAGCACCGTACACCAAGAATATTAGATCGTTGTAGTAGGAGGTACTGACCTTGCCAGAGCCAGCGATTCCCGAAATGGGTATAAAGGTGATGAAGATAAAGGCTACAGCCCCTCTGGCCATCACATTGAGGATATAGTACAAGTAAAGACATAACGATATGTATAGAAAGCGGAAAACCTACAAAAAGTAGGTTAATTTGATTTTTAGGATATGTGCAAAAACCTTACGAGTACTGGATGTCCGATTAAAACAGGTCCAAGTAATATAGGAATGAGCAAAATGAGAACGCCCTTGTAGTGGAATTTACAAAACAATCTGCGATCATCTTGCTCCTCCAATGGAACGTCGCCCGGCTTGTAATCTTGAACACTTAAGGAGACGAATACTTTTCGTTAAAATTCTCATTTGTCCATTTATATACTCACGCTGCCATCTGGTGCAACTACTTTAGTTTTCTCGAAATAGTTAATTTTGTTTCGTATAGATTTAATATTTGACGTTGAAACGGTTGCTGTGCTAGGTGTCCATATTTATTTAAAATAATTATTGATTTTCCGCCCGCAACATAATTTTAATTTTTCCAATACCTTGCATAAAATTGTTTAAACTTTCATCTAATGTTTTAGAAATATTTAGCCAATCGTTGGAATTTTTATTGGTAAAGTTTTTTCTTAATGGCCAAGTTAACTCACGTAGTAGGTCAAGATTTCTTCACTGACTGCAAGCTGCAACGCGAACAGCAGCAGGGAATTTGGCCAATAAAAACTTTGGTCGGCAGTGGTCGGTGGAAAGTGAGGACGGAAGACACCGCGACGCACTGCATTGTGGGTCGATTCTGATGGCGATGGCAACTTTGTGGGAACACGTGGCGCGTAACAACGCGCGGTCGTCGGCAATTTTGCGTAACTATTCAGCGTTCTGCTTCGTTAGTGCCCAAGCAGAAGTAGAAGTCCCTTCGCAGTGGAAGATCCTTAAAGTTGTCAGATGAGTCAAACGCAGTTGCAACTGCAGATAGTGTTGAATCAAATATTTTTGAGAGATTTAGTTTATTTAAATTGAAGTTAATATTTAATGGCGAAAGCGAACCTACAGTTATTTTATTAAGCTATCAATACGATTCATCCTGAACTGTTAGAAATAATTACTTAAATATTCTAAATATTATAGAATATCATTTATCAAAAAAAGCTTTAATTTTTAGATAAGTAAGCCGATTTAGCAAATAAATAGCAAATAGAAAACCAAATGTCCAAAAGCACGTCAAAACATAATTATAGAAAAATGACATAGCCTTTGCCACATTGCTTCAATGATTTTGAAAAAAAATATTATACAATTATAATTGTAGTATTTATTATTTAAATAAATAATAATTAAAAAAAAAACCAACTACAGAGCGCTTGTGAAATAAAATACTTTTCAGCATAAACAAAGTGCTGAAATGTGGGTATTAGTACGCCTGTGACATGTATGAAATCCGCATACTTTCACCGGGTATTATATTCCCATCTTTTCACTCTTAAACAAGCTGTATTTACGGGCGCCAACTTTCCGTTACTGGTTTGCGGATTGACACTCGGTATTTCGGCGTTTTAGTGGCTATGGCAACCATGCGAAACACTAAAGGAAAGAATCCTGAGATTAACTGGCCAAACATGCCAAAAAAGACTACGGCAAAGCGGAAGTTGATTGACTCCTTTGGACACTTTTTTTTCCATACGGAAGGTTGATAAACAAAAATGGCCGACAACGCTCTTTCAGCTTCATCCGTCGGCTATTGTTGTTATTTGCCTGAGGCGGCCTGACAAGCCAACATGACGTATATACACATAACGAACCATTTTTTGATTAGGGTTAACACGAATATATGATGGATGCTTCAGTTTTATGGCAGCATAGAGCCTGAAATCAACTCTAAAATCTGGGATCTGTGTGAAATTTGCCATTGTGTTCTTTATTTTCAGGCAAACGAAACCTTCGAGGATTTGGTTATACTTTAAAGCCTCCACACTCAGGCTATCTTACGGCACCGCCTTCCAGTCAGCACCCATCCGGACCAGCAACGCTTTTGAGTCTCGAGTAGCATTTCACCTGTCACGCCGAGCTGGTTGTTCAGAATAGAGGCACAACTAGTGTTTTCGAGCACTATCCGAAGGATCCGCTGCTGGAGGGCCCGGCAATAGGCCAGCTTGTCTGGCTGTTCCTGAAGCTCCAGCTCGATTTGAGCCGACCAGTTGGCTGTTTGAGTGTCCTGCTGCATCAGGACCAGAGGCAGGATTATTAACAATCCAAATGCCGTTGTCGTCGACGTGTTCATGGCGACAACTAGCAGCCAACTGAGCCAATGGTTGTTCAGTTGAATCCGACCAGCTGTTAATGATTTTTCGCAGTTTTTCTTTATTTGCCTTGTTACTTCGAAACATAATCGTTAGGTTCCATAGCAAGCGGTATGACTTGGATTACGGGCTTATACTTAATATACTTAATACTTAATTTAAAAACCAAATTGTAATTTAAAACAGTTTCACCAAATTGTTTGAGCAATTCAATTTTTGAAATCGGTTTTCCTTATTTAATTTTCTTGTAACCTGACACATTTAAAATGAAATTTTCAATATGTAATTTATGTGTTTCACGGACAGTTCTCACAAGAAATTTTTTATATAACACTTTGCTAAACAGTTAATTTTTCTCAAGCCACATTATAGCACAACCACTAACAGATAAACCATATTTAGCGACTTTAAAATAGCGTAAAAGGAATACTAAAATTCCTTAAATTTTTCACTCGAGTGAGGAGTGATCTGTCACCCATATCACCCCCCTTGGATCCGCGCATGATTACTTTTATCTAACGCTTTAATATGTAGTATAGCAGCCGGAGGTCTTTAAATAAATAGCATCGAATATTGTACAAGATAACATTTAAAACTTTAAAAAATATATATCCTAATGTGCCTTACACAAAGTGATTGTAATTGCGATAAATTTGTAGCCCAGTGCTGCATCAGATTTTACAAATAATTTCTTTCATTACCATTTTTTAGGCAAGCTGAATTTTAATCAATATTTTTTTATGATCCCAAAGTGAAATGCCCTATAATATTGTATTATTCGTTCCCCTTTGCCACGCTTTAATTTCGCACAAAGTTTTCGTTTGTTTTTAGCCCCTTTCAATTGCTTGTTAGCCATTTTTTCTTTGTTCGCCCCTTTCATTATCGCCACCTTTATTTTTTTGGACGTCGTCATTCTTCTGGTTGAAATTGCATTCGGCGAAATGAATGCACGGTCCTCGTCCCTTTCGCCACCCCCGGCGTGGAATCGACCTCGAATGATGCATGCAATCGAGTGTAAATTTCTCCGTTTTATTATTTAATAACGTGGCTGAGGAAGTAACTTTTATGCTATCTATATGATGGTTACTGTCGGTTCGCGAGACTCTCATATTTACGCGCCCATTTCCGTTTTTTCCCGCCGTGTCGGGCTGTATAAACAAATTGTCTGTGTAAATATAAGTGCAAATTGGACAACTGAAATGGCACCTTACCTGTGAAAAGTCAACAAGGAGAGAAAAATAGTTTTACTAGACATTCCGAATTTATTTTTGATTTTGATGGGTCTTTAATAAAAAAGCTTTAATTTTCTGTGTTAACCTCCCTCCTACTGAAAGGAACGCCGCTTAATAGACAAGTCTCAGCATGGAATTCATTTGGAATTACGCAAAGGATTAAGGTAACTTTTTGAAAAGGCCAGTATGACGGTCTTTTTAGCTCCAGATATTTTTTACAGCTCAAGTGGAGTCTGCCAGCCATTGAAAGTAAGTGCAATTGGGGGGCAAAGTAACTTAAGCATTTAAGTAAATTTAAAAACTTGCTAAGCCCTTTAATGAAGCGATTTCCACCAGTGCTCAGCGCCAAGGCCGCGAGGGAATCCAATATTGTTGGGATCTCGGTGTCTACGCAGCTTTTAAACAGCGATTTTCGTAACTTTTATTAATTAGTCGTACTATTAAATCAGATGGCAGGCCGACGAGCTTAACCTTTAAGATGCCTTCGCCCCTGCTAATGATGTTTGTACAACACGGGTGAGCCCCGGTAATGGCCCGGCCATGTGCCAAACATCGATCCTAGCCCGAAAACAACTCCATTAGGGCCAAAACAGACACAAAGGGCTGTGAAATCCAAAGGGCCCACCTGCTGGTTTTTTGCTTTATTGTTGATGTGGGTAGCTGCAGGAATTAAAAAATTCTCAACAGAAAAATTCAATTATGCCTTTCATTTCTGTCACTGAGGTGGCCTGAGGCCATTGTTCGCTTCGTTGAAAGCCATGGTTGAATCTGTGTAAAAATTATACATTTACAGGCAGTTGGGGTCTCTCACGGGCTTTCACTCGTTTTCGATTTGAAAAAATATTAAACGATTTCATAGATATACAAAAAATGTAAATATATATTCATTAATGGATTTAATTAATTTTATATGGATTTTGTTGAAAGGAATTCTTATTTCGAAGTCCTTCTCGTGGAGTTGCAAAAGGGAGCAAAGCTCCTTTGAATCGCATATTTCAATACTCGCGTTTCCGGAGCCAAAGTGGCGCCATTACTAATGACGCGCCGTAATTACTCCCTGCAAATTACTGCAATTATTTTTATGGAAGATGAGCAAGTTGCTGGCGCAGAGCTATAATCGCAACAACTATGCCCAACGCCGGCACACACATGCATATGTCTAATGCCCCATAAATCTTCATTCATTCGCTTCATCATGCAGAAGCCACGGGGCGACAATGTGCGCGTCATCAACATCATAGTCGATGTCGACTTATCCGCATCTTGCCGTACATTTGTTTCTCTTTCGCCCATTGTGCTCCCGGGGAGGCGTCATTTATCATTTGGTCTCTCTTAGTTGTCATATTTCCACTGCAGCTGGGTGCATCTGGGTAACTGGTAAACTGGCTGCGAGGATGATTTTTCACTTCCCATCGACAAAAGTTCGCCCGGCAGTCAATCGCCTCAAATGGATGATTGCCATCAGACATTAAAGCCATGCATGGATATTCATGGGGAATTATGGCAATGTCGATTCTTAATTTCCGCCGGAAATAATTCCATTTAAAAAGTGCACTTTTGAGCCCCAGCTCCAGCATGCGTAATAATAATAAAAAGGAAATGAGCTCGAAAACAACATCCCCGTAATGATAGCCATTGTTAATCGTGAAAATGTCAACACGAGCCTGCGTCTCATAATGCAATTTGAGCATTAAATAGCACAATTCGTTTATAACAATAATTAGTTTGGCCTTCCATGGCAGCTTCCTTTGTGCGAATTCAATACCATATTGTTGTGAGAATAAAATGCTTCTTGTAACTTATTAATCGGATGAAAGGAACTCTCTTGACCTTATTGTATCATAACTTAAAGATACCTAAACTGCTGAGCTTGTAAAATAAAAGATAATGGGGAACTTGCAATGCACAGTATTTATCATACTTACACATTCCTTACCGAATACCCTACTTATAGTAAATGAATATTGTGTACAAAATGTTTTATTTAAGTGAATATTAAATGCCATGAAATGGACCTGCCCACTTAAGGGCTCAACACCCTTTACTCTATTTGGTGAAACATATTTAATTTTCTGACCGGGTCCTTTCGCTTTAACAAATGTATTTACCAAGGTGCGTGGCCTAACACGCCCACAAGTTGGTAAATATAGACAGGCCGAAGCGCAAACAAGTGGCAATATAAGTACGTAAGTAGGTATATTTATGTATTTGCCCATACATGAATGCTGACTGACCCAGCCGTACCAAATAGGCAAACAGAAGTAAAAAACAGCTAGAAAGGACTTAGGACATTTGATACCTCTCAACTTTAAGGGTCAGGCGTAATTTTTGATTATATTTTAAATTAGCCTTTTAGTAAAAACATAGACTTTCTAATATTATACAAAACATAAAGAGCTAATTTCTAAAAAATTAAAACTATTCAAGAGCCCATCATTTTATCCCTGAACTTTCTTGAAGTTGGCAAAAAAAATATTATTTTATATATTTATATCGAGGAAATTATGAAATCCACTCTTCCAAGTCTTCTGCTTTCAAAGCCGCAATTTATTTCTCAGCTCACGAGCAGATCTGTAAAGTATAATGTGCAAGTGAGTGTGTGTGACTTTGCTGCAGATGTGTTTACCCTTTTTAGCATGAGTTGCTCTTTTTCAGTGGCTGAACGTGTAAATTTATAATTAAACGCCAACACTTTTTTCCCAGGAAGGTCCCAAAACTTGGACTTTGGGCCAAACCAGAACTCCAGCCGATGCCTGCTGTTTCCGCCTTCGTTTTCAATTTTCGTTTACATTGTGTGTTCTGGCCATTCCGGCATTGTGTCCCTTTTTGCTTTGAAATCTTTCGTGTAAGCACTTAATTAGTGGTAAAAGTTAAACAGAAACCGGCGCAAACATGCCACACAGAAGGAAAAAGAACAAGAACAATAACAGCAACTGGGTTGTTAGTCCCATCCCGCAAATAGGATGAATTTATTTCATTGGACGCAGATTAGATTAAATCGTACAGGCTTTTGCATTTTGGCCCGTCGAAGGTGGGCGACTGGTAACTGGAGGCCAAGTGACACGGGGTTTCCGCCCACCACGTCTGTGGTTTCCCGGGCAAGTGCCAACGTCAGTGGTTTTCCCATTTATTTATGCGATAGTGTGGGCCATTTGCGAAGATACTGCAGTAAGGGGTCAGCAAACATTATTGTTAATAGATGGCAGTTTTTTGGCATGTAATTTATTTTTATCAAGCTAATAATGCTTTTTAATAAGTGCCTTGTTATGCAAAATTTACTGGTATACACAATGGTGTACATTTATGGCTGGGATGCATGAATACTGTGGGTTAAGAAATATTTTCATATGGTGATTTGCATGTCAGCCGATGCATACAAGATAGTATAGTATATACTATCTATACTATCTATATACTATCTATCTATATTATAGTTCAAATATATTTATATATATCAACTTGATATTTTAACATATCAGGTAAATCATATAAACTAAAAAATACTATTTTAAAATACCAAATTTAGTCTTTTTTGATCAAATAATGTAAAATTAGATAAACATAATTCTTTTTCATATCAAAATAACTTGTTTTACAAAAATATAGAATTGATATATAATATATTATATTATAATATATGATATGATATATTTTTTTTTTCCTCAGTTACCTGTTAGTTCCACCGTACCACTCGTATCCAACTTAACTGGAAGTCATACAATGTAATGATTTGTATCTCAGACCCATTTGCACGCATGCAGCAGGGTTTGCCATCCAAAGAAGAATATTCCCCCGGCACGCTCCATTGCTCAAATAAAATTATGCTTAAAAGTGACTTACAACTCCCTTTCCTCGCTATTCCTCCGTCCATTTGCTTGCGGTGCTTAATTAACTTTCGCACTGTAATTGCTCCGAGAACTTTAAAACGATAAAACTTTTTATGAGCTGCCGTTTTTGGCCCGTTTGACTTTTGTCTGCCGAAATTACAATACCAAAATTTAGTTTCGCATACCGCCGAAAACAATTAAAGTTGAGAAAACGCCCGCACATAAAGCCGGCCGGGTGGGACGCTTCCTTCTCCGCTGTCACTGCTGACGTTCCGAATTGCATAAATGTTTGCCTTTGATGACAGCAGGAGAAAAAAAAGCAGGGAGTAAGGAGCAAGGACCAAAGAGCAAGGATCTGGGCCCGACGGGCAGACAGGTGACGAGTTGGACTTTTTCCGTAGCTCCTGTCTCGTTTATTGCGGCCCTGCGGTTATTTCTCCGCAAGTAAACAACAATAGCAGCGGAAAAACAAGCAAAATCGACTGGACGCCCCATCCTGAGCTGGTAAACTTTCTGACTTTCCGTGCTAATGGTTCAATTTATTTATCCTGCCGAGTTGCCTCGACAGTTTACAAAATATGACTGCAAAGACAGGAGCAAGAATTCAAGTTGCCATGAAACTATTTTCAGATTTTAATTGCAGCCGCTCACGGACTGACAAGCTTAATTAACTGCAAACTTTATTTGTCTTTCGTTTTAAATTTTTGCTAAAATTGCTGCGAAAGTCGCAGTCATAAAGGGTCTGTAAATTAGATTGTAAATAGGTTTTCGGAGAAACAATAATGGCTTTCCCTTGATTTTGCATTTGCATTATTTCCACCCAGTAACACATTTTTATAGAATAGCAGACACCCAGGCTGATTTAAATTAAACATAATTACGTTAAAAGCACGGCTTGTCAGTGTCCTAAACCATTTCAAATTACCAGCAAAGTCAGCTGAAACATGTATCAATCAGTGTGAATTGCGCTCGTCTGGAAAATATTTGCACACAATTAAGTGAAAGGCCGGCGAGTGTGTGCGGATAATTTATGATTTCATTTAAGCGACTCAACTGCGCGTAATTATGCGGACTCACAGCCCAGTACACATATGTACACACGCGCTGCGGTGGCTGATAATCGCGCATACGCCCCGTGTGGCTGGCGCGGAAAATTAGAAAGCCTAACGTATTGTTGTTGACCAGCGCGACCCCAACCCTTACTACCTTAAAGCACCGATTGTTATCCTATATCCTCTTTTCCCCGCCCCAACGGCAGTCAAGTGGAGCAGGTGAGGTCAAAGTTCGGAATTAAGTATACGCCGCATTGTGCACCTGGACTGCGTCTGGGAACTGATGACGCGTGGTGATGGCTTATCGAGATCCGCTTAATTCGAAATGCTTTGGTTGGCGCTGCGTTGATTAGACTTTCCGTGTTTTCATGTCAAGGCACGAATTAATCGAAATTAAATTAAGCCCACGCACATTATCGAGCATTTAACGATGTAATGATTAAACAAAGGGCATTTTCAAGTACGGTTAACTTACATAATTACACCATTCTGGTGGCAGAGAAATTTAATTAATGTGCTGGAAAATCGATACATGTAACAAAAAGAGCAGGTGAATACAGAGTAAAGGTGGTTAAATCAATTTTTTATTTCAACAAAATACCTTTTATTGTTTCTCATTGAGAATTTCGATATATATGGTTACAAATCGTTCATTTTGCACACTGATATCTATAACTAAATTGAAGTGAAATTAACTGTGGCCGTTTTATGTTTACGCTGACAACGCAATTTAAAAGTGTTTTTATTTTCAGCGCCCGTCGCTTTAATGAGAGTTGAGTTCAATTAGTTTTCAAGTGTTTTCACAGTGACAAATATAATTAGCTAATTGCAATAACAGAAAATACCCGAATAACAATATTTGCATTCGGAAATTAATGCAATGCAGTTTTGTGTCCGTTATCGCTATTAAATGTTATTATCGGGCGTAATTTCGTTAAATATTACATTTGATAATTACTTGGGCACCATCTTTTATTTTTATCGTTACAGAAATATTTACGCTAGGCATAAAAATTAGCATTAAATATAGTTATAGTTTAGTTTAGAGTATGTCAGATGGGAAACCACTTTAATTCTGGATAAATGCAAAATGCTGAATGTTTCAGAAACAAAGTTTGATAACCGAACACTGAATTCTGGGACGAAAAGGCAGTAACATAAACTAATTAATGTATACATTGTACAGTTTAGCGGTCTTCCCATCTCTTATCTCTCGGCTTTACACAAATAATTACGCTTAACTATGAATTCAGTTTATATACAAGATGTTCCTTTAAAATTGGCTACTACTTAATTATCATGATTCGTCCGAACACCGATGCTTCTCCAAATGCCTGGTGATTTTTGCGTGCAGGTTGCTATAATTGATATGCAGAGTGGATAAATTCGAGCGGGGTTCGCAGCAGCTGTCGCTGATGCCGATGCCGATGTGGCAGCCACCAAAAAGCCATCGCACGACGGAACTGGCCACCATGGCCAGGAGGAGGACCAGTCGACTGCTGCGACTGCTGCCACTTGTTCGGATGGCTCTGCTCTTCTGCATCGCTGCGGGGCTCTCATCTATGGCGAACAGGACAGGACAGGAAGACAAACAGAAAGTGTGGCTATATCAGATATACAACGGGTAAAGTCCGGAGCGCTCTTACCATTGATGACATTGACCACCACGCTGGCCGCTTCCGCTGTGGTCGGCATGCACGTATAGTTGCCCGTGTCCAGGAGCTGAGCATTGGCAATGCGTAATCTGGAAAACATGGAAACCAAAGCGCAGAGAAGCTTAAGGCAAACGTGCAGCTTAATTGCGTCAACTCTGTCCCCTCCCCGATTAAATCAACTTCATCGATCAAAGCTCGGCATACCGGGCATGAAGCAACTGGAAAACTCGCACCTGACGGCACGTTAAATCGCCTCTGGCATGCCAGCTGGGAAGCTGGGGGAAAATTCCAGCACTTGAAAGTTCAACGCTCATAGCCTGTTGAATCATTAAAAAAAGAAAGACGTTTCCCTATATTCCACAACAAATTTTGTCTTTTGAACCCAAATATAAAACCAAAATTTATAAGGCAATGTAAATACTTACGAAAAATCAACAAAAAATATTTTAATATGTTGAAGTATTTAAATGTTAGATCTATGTAAACATCTCTGACATCGGTAACAAATGAAAACACAATTAAAATTATAGGGGAGAGTGGGGGAATTTCGTCACAGGGGCAATTTCGTCACCTGCAATATCTCGGAATCCATAAGTCGTAAAAATATATAATTTTTTTGTTTTAGTCCTTCTAGACGGCCAGACACAACCAATGCATTTGTTTTGCACAGAAGGCCAAAATAATTAAGCTATAATATTAAATGTGTTTTAAAAGTTCAAAAGCTACATTTAGTTCTCGACGAAATTTTTTCTGTATGCCACAATTCAAAAGGAATAAGATACACGATTTTTTATATAATACACAATGCTATAATGTGCATTTCTGCGTCAGTGATTTTTAACTTCGCGCCTAATTTCGGAAGAAAAATAATTATTTCTAAAAAAAGTACTGTCTGGGGAAATTTCGCCACCCTACGCTAAGGGTAAATTCGCACCTATTTTAAATACATATTTTTATATTTGACGAGCTGGCTAACGAACAGACTACCAGCAGCAGCAACAAATATAGGACGTCAACAAAAATGGTACGCTTGATCAGTGTAGCATATTTACAGGCGTTAAACTCCCTACATTTTTCAGGTGACGAAATTGCCCCGGTAGTGTGGTGATTTTACCCCCCTGTGTGGCGAGATTGCCCCAGTATATTGGTTTTACATTTTATTTTTTTATAAATCACCAAGGTAATTAAAAAAATAGGGGAATGTCACATTTTAAAGCTTGGTGCTAACCGCATTCAACAATAAAAATAGAAATATGATAACGTGTCTCAAGATGGACAAAAAATAGCTTTGAAAAAATGCTGACGAAATTCCCCCACTCTCCCCTACGCATGTATACTGTTATGTGAATCATGATTTCACGACACAGACGAAATAATAAAATGATGTGAGCAGGGTTGCCACTGCAGTAAATTAATTCAAAATTTAGAGGTGAGATAAAGCAGATATATTATTAGATATTTACAATAAAAAACGAAAACACACATTTTATTAGGCAACAATTCCTCATGAGTTATGGCAAAGCATATTTTTTTATTTTATTGGCCTGTTTTTCCCAAGTGTAGGCGTTCAACCCAATGCTCACCTGCTCTGCAGCTTCTCTGCCAGCGTGGACTCCATGGAGATGCGCTGCAAATCGATGGCCGCGTCGTTCGGATGGGCCACGAATGGTGTCAGTATGTAGGGCCCGCGGTACCAGTAAATTGGCCCAATATCCTGCGCCGACGTCGCCGGCTGCTTCACGAGGCATGTGAGTGTTACGCTGCTGCCCACTTTGACGTACAAGTCCGTCGGGCCGGCAATAATCGCCTTGGCATCTGGCGGCGTTACTGCGATTCGCCGTGGAACGGAATGAAACGAGCCCGAAATTGATTAATAGCATTTCTAGGCGCTCCGACACCCTCCAGGCCCCAATTATGGGGTCGGTTGGGCGCTTGGTCGCTTGGTCGCTTGGTGGGTGTGGGTGGCAACTGCATCTAATCATGCGTCCGGCAAACGCAGATTTCAATGGGCCTCAATTGATTGGGTTGAAGGTTGAGGGCCGAGCAGGGGGAATGGGATTGGAATGGGTTGGGCTCAGTTGAATTGGGTGGATTGTATTGCCGGCATTTTTAAAAGGGCAAAAAAAAAAACCCCCCCAAAAAAAAACATAACATAGTACCAAAAAAAAAAAAGGAAAAAAAAAAAAAAAAAAAAAAAAAAAAAAAAAAAAAAAAAAGAGAAAAAAAAAAATTCCCCCCAAAAAAAAAAACCCCCAAAAAATAAAAAAAACCCCCCCCTAGGATATAAGTAGTTAAATAAGGCTAGCGATAAGGTAAAATAGTATTATAAGTTAGGTTTAAGGCTACAAGGCCACACCCGATAGTTAATAAAACTGTCATCGCCACCGATACTTACATCACTAGCCTGGAAGGCTTACCCCACACCGACACACACATACCAGCACAGAAACAAGAAATTCACCACGAAAAACGGTCACTTGACCAAGCTTAGAATAAGAGCGAGTGAGAGAACGCATGATCGCGTTGGAAACCAACCCCCGAAAACTGGCACGCGCCCATGAGGGAGAGCGAGAGGAAGATATGCCAAAACTTCGAGAAGCCGGGAAACAGAACGGCGAGAAGTTTCGCGAAACGAAACTCGTGGCAGTTCTTTGGAAGAGGTCGATTGACGCTGACGAGGAATTTTTGGTGCGGAAAAGAGTGGGCGATTTTGCCACTCCGGGAGTGTAAGATAGCGGAAAAACAAGGAGAAGCCAAGCACTCCACGTGCCCAACGTGGAAAACCCCAGGACACCCGCGCTACCGGAAAGCAGCGGAACACCCAGTCGTCGAGTGGCGCCTGACGAGGAGAAGGAGCAACAGAGGAGTTGTGGACAATAGTGGTGCCGGCCCAGGACCAGCGGCGGAGCACCAAGTTTGCACGCGGAACTCTTACGTGTGTGTGTGTGTGCGAGAGCGAGACGGGTGAGTGCCAAAAACCAGTGAGACCGCAACGAGTGGCCAGCGAAAACAAGCCCGGCCAACAACAAGGGGCAGTATGTGCACTTAGAAATCTCGGCAGGCCTCGATGCGGTATCACTGGGGTAGAATCCGGCTAGATCAGCCATAACCTCTGCTTAAATAAAACCTAACACTATGTAACCCTAATGAAACTGAAAACCTAACCTCAAAATGCCAAAACGGAAAAATATAAAATAGATCCAAGTCAAACATGAAGAACTTACATCCCAAATACTGTATACATTGAAATAAAACTAGAATACCACGAAAACTTATATATATATTTTGTCAAAGCAAATCTTTTAAAGAAAACTGATCAAGATCCTAATAAACAGCAAAGATTTAACTTGAAGCCTAGAAATCCCACTATATTTTCTTGCCCATACTTGAACCGCCTCGAAATGCCCTCCAACGGTACCACCCCCGATTTATTTAACCAGATATTTTGTCAGAGGTCAGGCTCAGCCGACCGCATAACTTATTCCGACAGCGAGTGCTGGCGGCTCTCCATGTAAGGCAGCCACATGGCCTAGAATTGCCAGGCGTCCCCTAATCGATACGCGATACCGCCGAACCCCCCCTTCGTTCTTGTTGATACCCAAATCAAATCGAAACTGTGTTTTTACTCAGTAACCCGGTGGCTGACACACTACATCTCACGTCAGCCCACCGCTCATCGAAGACCCTAGTCTCAATCTTTATAAATTTGTCTGTAAAGAGATCCTGGCGTGACCGAGCTTCACCCCAGCCTAAGAAACTACTTCACAGTCTGGCGCCCGAACAGGGACTTGGGGCTTACGAATTTTAGATGATTATTTGGCCTAAAGACCCATCTGGTTACTTTCTTCGATTTGTGTTTTTGGGTACAGCCATATAGGAGCGAATTTTTAAGTGGGTACGCACGGAGAGGAATAAATATCGAGGGACATGCAAATCTAAAACCAAAATTATCAAATATATATATATATAAGCAAGACACAGGCGGGAGAACTTACATAAAAGTATACCCAAAATCAAGACCAAACATAACCTAAAACGAGAGGTTGTCAGGGGTAACAGACCACGTGGCCAACAGATCACGTGAGTCGCATACAAGCATAGCAAAGAGAGAAAGAGCGAGCCCTCTATAGGTGAACCAGTCAGGCCGCGAGATTGTAAAAGCACAAGCTAATCCATACTCCCCACAGCGCAGCCATCTTGTTTTCGCTCTCATCGTCGTCTCTCTCACATCCCCAGCAATCGACTGCAAGTACAGTCATCGGAAGCATAGAAAAGGGATCTGAAAACCACCGTCGCCGAGTCAACACATTTTTCACAGAATTTTTCCGCTACATCCAGTTTTACATCGCCGTCGAGGAAAATCTAAATTGTCGTCGTACGCCTTATTGGGGTTGCCATCGTTCCGCTGGGCCGTTATTAACCCGTTAACAAATAAATAAACATTTTTTTTTCGCTGTTGAATTTTGTTAAACTTTTGAGCTTCGTTTGACCCTCGTTAAAATTTTTCGCCGCACCAAAATCTGGGTTTCCTCGTTCTCCGGTGGATTATTTTTCGCAAACATGGGTGCACGTTGGATTTCGTATCTCAGAAAGCGAGAATTGTAGGCAATTCTGAAGGAGTTCGCCTTGGACGGAACTGGAAACGTGGAGGAGATGAGGAGCCGGTTGGCAGCCTTTAATAATCGTGACGATCACGTCTTGGAGATAGCCGAGCGTCTTCAGGAATGCGAATCGGAAATATTGGCCGCGATCAGCGAGCGGAAGCAACGGACGCCGAGTCCAAACCCTGCGGGTCCAACCAAACTCCATGTCCCACTGGGATGCGCCAACACCGCTGAGGCAGGGGCCGACGTAGAAGCCACCACTGCCAGGCGGGATATTTCTCCCAGAAAGCTGGAAATGACAGCGGCAACTCTAGCAGAAAAGTTGAGAAACTGGGGAATCACCTTCGACGGGACAACGGACCCGATCTTGTTTATCCAACACCTCGAGGAACGAGCCACAGCTTACGAAGTCAACGTGGAGAAGATGCCGCAGGCCATCCCTGGTCTTTTGACGGACACGGCCGAACACTGGTTCCGGACAAGCCAGCTACTGGGCGAATCCTGGGCAAACTTCAAGAAGGCATTTCTTGACTTTTTCCTGCCACCGAGGTATTTCCAGAGACTCGAGGATGAGATCCGCACCAGACACCAGCGACCCGGAGAATCATTTAAGCAATACCTTGTAAATATTCGATTGATGATGCACAGAGCGGGATATAATTCAGAACAAGAGTTAGAAAGGATCTACGAAAATCTACAGTCAGACTATCAACTGTTTACCAGAAGACATGAATTCACAACGCTGGAACAACTGACCGCCTTGGCAGTTACTTATGAAGTCACCCGCGATCGAGACACAGGAAGTCATGCAAGGATGCTGGCTGAACTGCAGTCACCGCCGAAGAGAATCGACCAGATCCCGTCGTACTCAGGGGCGCCACCAACGGGTCGCCAAGATACAGCACGACCACCCCCACGAACATTTACACCGGCCGCCGTGGTACCGGAGATAGTTCCTCGGGTGGGGAACGTGTCCATAGTGCCGAACTTCAGACTAGCCTGCAGGAATTGTGCGCAGGCTGGGCATTTTCCACACGAGTGTCGCAATCCCCGAATTCTCTTTTGCTGGGAATGCGGTCGCCGAGGAATACGAACCAACGAGTGTTGTCGTCGCAGCCATCCGGGAAACGAGAGGAGTCTTCGTCCCCTCGGGGAGCGGCCGGAGACTGCCAGGAGGAATCCCCAGAATTAAAAGATATTTTACAAGTCCAGGCGAGCAGAATCATCGCACAAGTACAAATCGAGGGTCGACTATTTAATGCAACCATAGACACCGGAGCCAGCAGAAGTTTCGTGAGCGAAAGAGTCGTTCAACTCGTGGGCACACCACATAACGTACGGACGGTACGCACCCAAGTCAGCCTGGCCGAAGGCTCCCGCAAGGAAATAACCAAGTCACTGGTGGCGAAAGTCCAGTTGGACCAACGTTGGGTCACATTTCCACTCTTAGTCTTACCCTCAATCATGGAAGATGTGCTGTTGGGCATGGACTTTCTCTGCGGCGTGTCCGCCACCCTCCAATGTGGTCGCGTTTCGCTACAACTTAACCCTCTTCTCGTAGCCAGCACCAAGAGCGACTCCGTTCTGTCCCCCCTTCTCATAAATGAGCCTTCTTCAGAAGAAATCGACAACTTCGATGCCACCGTCCCAGAACTACAAAGCAACGAACCAGAGCGCAGGATGCAAGCTGCCCCAACAAACAGTATTCTAGGGCCCAGAGACGACACAGCCGTGCGCAATAATCCATTTCGGCGGAATCCGTGTTCCGTATCGGCAGAGCCAGCCAAGGAAGCGCGATTTCCTTCCCCAGCCAGACCAGCGTATGCATCTGATACTGGAGGAGCATTAGCAGTAATCAAAGAGACCCCAGGGCCGGAGGATCTAGAACCCTGGGTACACAAATTCCTACAGGAGGAATTGGCCAAATTCGACGGACTGACCGGAGTGTCACACATCGCCGAACACTCGATCACAATGCGGGATGATAAACCCATTAAACAACGGTATTTTCCCAAGAATCCCGCAATGCAGAGGATTATTGACGAGCAGATCGACGATTTGTTACGCCACGATTGCATAGAACCTTCTCGGAGCCCCCATAGTGCCCCTATCGTACTCGTGGGCAAGAAATCGGGAGAGATGCGGCTCTGTGTTGATTTTCGGCAACTAAATGCCCATTCAATCCCTGATGCGTACCCGCTGCCCAGGATAACTCACATTCTG